AGCCTCTTTTTTTCCGGTCTTCCCGGTCTACCAAGGACCCGGCCCACCTCGACAGGGTAGTCTGGGTCCTCCGGAGGACCCGGCCTATTGTTTTGGATGCAGCCCTAATCTGCTTTATCCGGTTCACAGCAGCTTGACCAGGGAAGCCGAGACTGTGTTGTATTGTTAAATGGTAAATGGACTGTACTTATATAGCCCTTTTCTATCCATCCAGGTCACTCAAAACGCTTCACGCTACAAACTGTGTCCTCATTTGCCCATTCACACAGCACTCTATTAGGTCTCTACAAAGCTAACATATAGAACCTTCTAGGGAGACTAATCAGTGCCAATCACATTCATACACTGATGGGACACACATCAGAGGCATTAGGGGTGGTGTCTTGCCCAAGGACACAACAACTAAGACAGTTGGACGGGGGATRGAACTTGCAATCTTCCCGTTCCAGGACAACTCCCCTAACCACTCTGCCACAGCCGCCACAGTGTTGCTGCAATAAAATTCTAGWTTTTTTGTTTGTTGAAAAAGTGATATAGCTTAGTTTTTAAATGTTTGATGAGTTTTTCATTATGAATATGGATTGAAGAGATTGGCGAAATATTTAAATTTTTAATGACATTTTGCACTATGTCCTGTTGTACAACATGAAACTTGATTGCACTCTATCTGAACAAAGTAAAAACAAATTTATAAAAACATAAATCATTGGTCATACCTTTTATTTTTGGTTAAAAAACCAAATTAAAAGCAAATAAGTTCTTTGGTATTTTGTAGGTGAATATCTATAGCAGTGGTTTCCAACAATCACAGGTCTGCCAAATAAATTCAGGTTCACCATAAAAACCTTCTGTTGATTTTAAAATTAAACATCATTTCTTGGACAAAAATGCACACAAATAAAAGTGTTTTAAACAAAACTGCACAAAGCATTTTGAGGCTCCTTTTATAACTGCAGTCATGTATTTTAGTCATCAGTACATGTGTAGTTTCAGGCACACAGGCAGTTGTTCGGTGCTGCAGATGTTTGGTGAAGAAGGAGAATGCTCTGCTTTGTTTGCTGGGTGAGACATTTATAAATAGACTCTTGATGTTTGTGTGGAGAATAGTTGTGTTTTAGCACRAGTACTGAGAATATAGCTGGTAGAGACACGAGTCTCTGTTGTTTGCAGCTGGACGGTCCTTCAGTTCACATGGACCAAATAATGGGTTCAGAGCCATCAGGTATTCTCCTAAAACCTTTAATAAAATGGATCTCATGATTCTTGAGCGGTTCTGCTTGCAGACAGAAGTGACTGTAAATATTTAATGATAAAATCTTTAGCAAAGTCTGGATGCAATCTGTGAGCTCTCAGATTATGTTGGTGATAATTACAAATTCATATCACACTAAATGAGAGTTTTTGGTAACAGACAGATGAACACACACACACACACACACACACCTTTTGGTGAATATGTTCAAGTTTTATCCCAATTATTAAACAGCTTTTAAGGCTTGCAAAAAGGATTAAACTCACATTTTAAAACAAGCACTCTGGTTTAGGGATGGGTACCTTTGACATTTGAACCGATTCGGCTCCAATATCCGGTACCTGGGAATCGGTACCGGTACTTAACAGTACCAACTTTTGGTACTGTGTGTGTGTTGTTGTTTTATTAAATAAACTTTTTTTTACATATTTCTTAATATATAAAATTTAACAAATATAAAGACAACATCCAACTCTATGTATTGTCACATCAGTTGGTTAACAAGCTCTTTAAGGTGAAAACTCTTGAAAACAAAAGGACCGTTTTGTCTTATTGCACAAATTAAAATCCAGCTCCATGTGTTTCTATTGATGTCATTTACCTGCTAGAAAAATTGTGATGGAGGTCCATGGA